GTGTGTTCTATTTGAATAGAGCACCCGTCTGTTGGAAAAGAACAGACGTGCGTACTAAGCGAATAGAAGATACTCTCGTAATATTTCACCGTCCGTACTATTTGGACSTCGGGAGCGACTTCGAGAAATRAACTTTTCCAGGGAAAGTATAATAGTACACACGTGCGTTTTGTTCGGTGGAAGACTGTAGCCAATACTGACGGCCTGGCTACACCACTGTCCCAACGAGRAAAGCACAAGTGCATCTCTCACAGAAAGTGGAAAGATACATACGTTACTATTTATAGCAACGGATGCGCCTTGCGACTTTCTGAGGATGATGCACTGGTGATCTTATCGTTTCCGTTTCGACAGTGATGTGACKAGACCCAGAGAGTCAAAGACTACTGAAGCTSGTCGGTATGGTCATATCTATCCATGATCTTGAACCGTATGCGAATGCTATTGACGACTGTACCGTCTGTTTATCGTTCCAATGTCCCGGAGTTGGGCAGTATTTGTGTTTCCCTAAACCCCCGAAACGGTATTTCGGTTATTTGCCCTAATCGACGTTGGTGAGATGACATTGTGYGTTTCTCGCGCTCGTCAGGTTGGCTGTCTTCCGGTTAAARTGGAGGTGAAGACATTCGATCGTGGTCRGAAGGGGAGCGAGCTCAGGACGGSGTCGGCGGCGTGAACTGCACGATCTCCTCGTCCGTTTGTCTCCTCCCTCTCGCTCCCCTCTGCCGCTCCCTTTCTCGGCCTTTCATTTTCAAAGTGGATTATCCTCATCACCAACTGCCCACATTCTCTCTCTCTCTCTCTCTCTCTCTCTCTCTCTCTCTCTCTCTCTCTCTCTCTCTCTCTCTCAGCTCCGGCGTCGTTGCCTCGTTCTCTTATCATTGCTACCGCGGCGATGGCCGCTCTCTCGGGCTCCAAAGTGCGGGCAATGGYAGTTCACACCGCTTCTGTCGCCGGCTACGAAAGCCGAGCTCAGCTGAAGGCCTCCTCGGCAAGGAACGTTCGACTGCCACGTCTGCATGGACAACAATCACGTGGATTTACTTCACGTCTGCATGGACAACAATCACGTGGATTTACTTCACGTCTGCATGGACAACAATCACGTGGATTTACCTCACGTCTGCATGGCCAACAACCACGTGGATTTACCTCTCCGATCTCGTCTTCGACCTTCCTTGGCGACTGCCGATCTCTAGAGATGTCAGGTGCGCCGGTGGGAGTCCCGTCTTTGCCGAAGAGGCATCGTGTGCCGAGTGTGGCTATGGCGGTTCAAGCTCCTCCTGTTYCGTCCGAGCTGCCGGGCTTCTACCAGGTCGGCGAGCCGATTCCCGACGATGTTTCAATGTCAGCGGTGCTGAGGACGTTTCCCAAGGAGGTGTTCGAGGTCGATGACCTGAAGGCTTGGAAGAACGTGGCCGTGACCCTGGGGGCAGTGGCACTTGGATACGCCCTCCTGGCCGTCTCTCCTTGGTACATGTACCCTTTCGTGTATGCGTACCTCGGTACCGCTGTGACGGGTCTGTTTGTCATCGGTCATGACTGCGGGCATAACTCCTTCTCCAATAATCAGCTCGTGAACGACGTTGTTGGGACTATTTTAATGGCGCCTCTGGTCTACCCTTTCGAGCCGTGGAGAATCAAACACAACGCTCATCACGCCCACACGAACAAGCTGATCGAGGACACCGCTTGGCAGCCGTTCCGTCCTTTCCAGTACGACAGAGGGACCCCTCTTCAGCGATTGATGATGAGGATTGCGCTGGGCCCAACCTGGTGGGTGGCGTCCCTGGGACATTGGTACCAGTGGCACTTCAACCTGGACCTATATAGACCTCAGGAGATGAAGAAGGTCGTCGTCAGCCTTGCTGCAGTAGCCGCCTTCGTGGCATTTGCTCTGGTGCCCTTGCTGGTCACYCAAGGGGTGGGAGGATTCGTCAAGTGGTGGCTAATCCCCTTCCTGGGGTACCATTTCTGGATGAGTACCTTCACTCTGGTTCATCACACTGCACCTCAAATACCTTTCAAGTCTGCACGAGACTGGGATCAGGTCCAGGCGCAGATTGGAGGCACCGTCCATTGTGAGTACCCTGCATGGATCGAGTTCTTGTGCCATCATATCAGCGTGCACATCCCCCACCACCTCTCCACGAAGATCCCGAGCTACAACCTCAGGAAGGCTCATGCCATTCTAGAGAAGAAGTGGAACAAATACCTCAACAAGGCGCGCTTTGGGCTCCCCCTCATGTCTACCATTCTCAATAACTGCAACCTGTTCGATACGGCTAAGGGCCGCTATGTCAAGTTCGACAAGTCGCGAAGGGTGTAATTAAGGGTAGGGACTGGAGAGAGGTGACCCAGAGGCGTTAAGAGTTTYAACGGGTTTGGCAACCCGAGAGTTCGTTCAGTTCAATCTCAGCCTTCTCAGCCCGTGAGAAAGGGAGAAAGGGAGAAAGGGAGAAAGGGAGAAAGGGAGACAGGGAGACAGGGAAGAAAGGGAGTGCTGACAGTTCTCTTGTGTCGATGAGTGGCCCACTGTGGCACACTGTGTTTGCTCCTGTGTGGGAGCGGCGAGG